GTCTTCCTATTTGCTGGAACTACATACACACTGGCCCCTTTGACCTAGGGCCTGATGCCAGCGGCTGGTACTTAAGACTTCCAGACATACATAAACATACAGGGTTGACAGTCCCCTCACCCTAGGAAAAAAAAACTAGAAATGGAGCTTAGTGAGACAAGGCTGCAGAGATAATTATTACTGATCAGCAACGTATTAAGACATGGCCACTTTTTTCACACTTTTTCAATGCTCCCATATTTTTTTCCTCCCAGTCCGCTTTTATAACTTCCCCACCTTTGGTGCTTCCTTTGATATACCCATACTATATCTCACACATTCTCACAATCCCCTAAAAGGATCTCATGGTAGGTTTTCGTTCCCAAATGCTCTTCCCCCATATGAATGAGGACACCTGTTGGCCTGCAGGCATCCCAAGAGCCCTCCTGCCTCACTCTGGACGGAAGCCAGGCCAAGACCAAGGCCCAGGCCCAGAGGCTGACTCCAGTCCTTAAAAAACTCTGAGAGCAGCCCAGGACGGGCACCATTGTGCTATTTCGGCCATCACGTACCCCATCTGCCGTCACCCCTCCGCCCCTTTGGTTCCATTCCTTAATAACCTGAGAGGTGGCAGCGCCAAAGCTCCTCGCACAGACCTGACCTTGCAGCTTTACCCGCTGCTATCCGGAGCACCGGACGGGCAGCACGAGGGGCTCCGCGGGACCGGCCACTAGTCCCGCCAGTCTCTCCGCCAGGGAGGCGCCGCAAGGCCCCCAACGGCCTCTGTGAGGTTTAAATTTGGCGCCGCGCTCGCTGATTGGCTGGTGCCCGCCGCCAATACACTCAGGGAAAACGCTGTGGTGTCCTAAAAACGACCAGTCAGCAAAAAGCTTCTTCCGCAGACGCGCCAATAGCGAGGTGCGGTGTCGCTGTCCAATGAGCTGAGTCCTACTTGGCGGGAGGTTATAAAAGGCCCCGGCGAGCCGGTCCCGCCTCAGTTGGCCGGAGCGGCCGGAGAAGAGCGGCTGTGTAGTCGAGCCAGGCGCCATGTCCGGCCGTGGCAAGAGCGGCGGTAAGGCCCGCGCTAAGGCCAAGTCTCGTTCGTCCCGGGCTGGGCTGCAGTTCCCGGTCGGGCGCGTTCACCGGTTGCTGCGGCGTGGGCACTACGCGGAGCGGGTGGGGGCTGGCGCGCCCGTGTACCTAGCGGCCGTGCTCGAATACCTGACGGCCGAGATCCTGGAGCTGGCGGGCAACGCGGCCCGGGACAACAAGAAGACGCGGATCATCCCCCGTCACCTGCAGCTGGCGGTGCGCAACGACGAGGAGCTCAACAAGCTGCTGGGCGGCGTCACCATCGCGCAGGGCGGCGTCCTGCCCAACATCCAGGCCGTGCTGCTGCCCAAGAAGACGAGCGGCGGCGGCGCGAGCCCCGCCAAGGCCGGCAAGAAGGGCAGCGGGCAGCAGTCACAGGAGTACTAGGCCGGCCGCCCCTCCGGCGCCACACAAAGGCCCTTTTCAGGGCCACCCCATTGCTCACGGGGAGAGCTGTAATCCGCAGAGGGGAGGGGAGGGAAGGGGAGATCGGGCCGGCTGCGAGGGACAAGCGGGAATCGGCCCGAGGCCTGTCAGACACCGAACACGAGCTGCTCTGTAAGGGCTGGTAATTTGCTTGTATTTACCTTTCTTCCCTGCAGTGGGCGTTGCATAGAGAATAAACAGCGCTTCGTTTACAAAACAGGACCCCAAGAGGGTGCCATTTCAGTATTTCTACAAGGTACTGTAACACACAAGGCTCGCTGGGAGGATGGCGAGGCAGTAGTGAGTGCAAGAAATCAAAGTAAAAGGAAGGAGCTGTTATAAAGAAAAGCACAATAGCCCAAATTTGGACTTCTGCTTCAGCTCCCCATTCACTGGCTAGTGGGAGATGAACTGGTTCACATTACCCTTGTGGACAAGCACTCTAAGGCTGTTCACACCCTCCTTTAATCCTGACAAATTGGCAAATCTGCATCTACCTGATAACTGCAAACTTAATTTACCTTAACTGAGACCAAGGGTGAAAGTGGTATCTGTGCTACTTAACTAAAAGGAACATGGTATCATCAACCTGATGGGAGACTTCAGTGGTCCAGTGAGTGAACCGGCCCAAATAAGGCACTCTCAGCACAGTACAGCATTTTAGTACCAGCACAGTTGTGTTTCCAATTATAATCTGTAATGAGCACTGAGTTCCTAAATGGAATAGAACGCTTACAGACTTTTATTTTTAATTTTTGCTTTTAACTTCCTAGCTACAAAAATTGTTGAAAATACTTCAAAGGGACACTTGGCAATTTAGAGAAATGTGGAGGGGGATGAAAACCCTGAACAGCACAAACTACTCAAGTTAGTTAGCTTATTATTTCAGGTTTTTGCACCCAAATGTCAGGCAAGACTGGTGTGAGTGTTTAAATAAATCCCATTTTCTGGAGAATGATGGCATAGCTGCAGTCTTGTAGCTGGTGTTGTAGCACTCCTGGCCACACCGAGTTCAGCGTGTGTCGTTGAGCTGCCTTGCCACGCTAAGGATGTGCTTTGCTCCCTTGCTCAGAAGTAAATTAGCCAGTTCAACACCCAGGTTTTCTGCAGCTTCCTGGGCCTGGCTAGGGACATTCTTGGCTGTGATGCCAACGTGCTGCACATCATCGTTTGGTCCATCTTCATTCTGCAGACACAAACACCTAGGTAAGGCAGCGGGGAGGAGCAGGGAAAGAACAGTTTCGGATATCCACAAAACAGGGTAAAATCTGGTACAAGGAGCCTCAAGAACAGGGTGCTGTTACAACTTTCAAGGAACCAGACCAAAAGTCATCTATTTCTAAAGGTCAGGGTTTTGTCATTCAGCTTCAGGTTTGAATTTTGAAGTCGCTGCAGGGCATGTACCTGATTGGGGTAGTTGACACTGGTCTGCATGGTCTCCTTCAGGCTATCAGATCCATCCAAGCTGTAGACTGCTCCTGTCAAGTACAACTTGGAAAAACAGACAGAATGGATTAATACCATATTAACAAACAGCCAACTACTTCTCTTTAAAAAAAAAACCCACCAGCATACAAAGCTAAGTCTGGAGGGGAAGGCTTTTCTCATGCAGTGGGATCAGCAAGAATAGCAGTACAACACAAAGCAAAAGAGAAGAAATTCCTGTTAAGGAAGACGCAACTTCCCAAGGAAAAGGATGGACTTTTTTTCTAGTTTCCCACCTCCCTAATCCATTGTCTAAAAACAGATTTGGTGGGGTCAGAAGCAAGACTTTCAGATCTCAAGGCAACACTACCTTAAAATAAGCAAGGGTGATGAGAGGGGAAATCTGGTATGTATTATAAGGGAATTTTCTAGGAGACAGCTTCAGTACCCACACCCACTGATCAAGTCAGGAGACTATCTACCCTACTTGGCTTTAAAGACATCTGCTGAAATTGTCTTCAGGGAAGGATCAGGGAACATGCACATGCTTGGAATAGGTTTTCAAAATAATCCCAGAAAAAAAAGTACTCCTCACCTGGCCATCCTTCAGCAGGGTGCTGACAGCAACAGGGACACTACATCCACCTTCCTAAAACAAAAAGAAGCTGACACCAAGGCTCCTACCCAACACTTGCAAAGCAGAGGCCTCTGAAAAGTTTAGGCTGCACACAACCCCCACCCATCACTTTTCAGGCCCTTCTTGATTCAGAAGTAATCCTTCTTTCACAGTTTTAAAACAGTGCAACAGATTTCCCATACTTCGGCATCAACTCAACTAGCAGAGCAGTATTTACTGCTGCAGGCAGAGGAGCAAGGACACCAGACCTACCAAACACTTCATAAAGGCTCTTTCAGCAATGCAGCACAACACAGTGTCTGCATCATGCAGGGCAGATACCATATTCAGTATCTCTTGGTCTTTGGCACGAACTTCCACTGCTAAGGCACCCTAGGAGAAGAAACACACAGCATAATAAAGTAATTCTTCAGCTTCATGCATCTGTGTGTGCACTCAGCATTGACCACGAAACAGAACTCAGAGGCTCGAACGCTTTTCACTAAGGGAGTGATGTTTACAGAAATGAATTACAAAACACTTTACTGGCTGCAGTCATCCTATAGCAGCTGCTATGAACAGATGATTGGAACTTAATCAGCCAAATGTTAAAGGCCATGCTGCCACCTCAAACCATTCTAGAACCTATCTCAGTTATGTCTGCATATATAGAAACACACACCCTATTGTGCCTTTGGGATGAGTAGGCTGGATAAATCCAAGATTTACAACCTTTCATCAAGAAACAGATCAAGTGCTGAATGAGTAACAGTGACAAAACAATTCTTTTCTAAATTGGATACATGACGGGGCACGGGGTACAGGCCACTGCACAGTACCTGACCAACACATGATCAAAGTCACTGTTTCAGAATGACTGTGCAGATTGGTCACTTGCAATCACTAATGGATCTGGTTTAGCAAGTTTGATACCAGCTGAGCAGTCCTGTGTAAACTATGCCACGTGTCCAGAACGGACTGGAACCACTGGCCTGCCCAGAAACAAGAGCCCTAAAATGTGCTCCAAGACACCTGTTTCAGCTCCACCCTGTAGGAGTCAGGACACCATAAGGGAGAAGGATGGAGCATCAGAGGGCAAAGATGTTGCAGCAGGTGTGCACAACCATCCTGGTGCAGTTGTAACACCAACCCTGTGAGAGCCTGCCCCACACCTGCTGTGTCACCCATCCTAGTTGTGCATGCATTACCTTTCCCCTTTATTGTTTTTCGACTATGAATAGAAATCAGCCACTGAGTAACAGAGCTGACTCCCATTCTTCCAACAAGCTGTGCCTAAAACAGCATAACAGCCAACAAAACAGATAGATGTAATAGTTTTTTGGCAACCAACAAGCGAGAAGTCTTCAGCACAATTAACCACTCAAGAGACATTGTGCTGCTGCTGGCTTTCAATACATAGCATGGCTTAAAGTACAAAAGTTGTAACATACCTGTCCAACAGCATACAGACAATCTTCAGGGTCTAGGAGCTGGAACAAAGCAAAATCAGTTAAGTCCCAGAGTTCAGAATATAGGAAACAAGAGCCAAATTCTATGCTTGTCTCTAATACCAACTGATTTCATACCAGATCAAAGAAATATCACCTCTCCCTTCCCATGCTCCAGTGTTTCCACCACTACAGTGAAACAATACCACTTTGTGAAATACCCAGTCACAAGAAACTGAGTCTTGCACAACGCTGAGTTGCCAGACATGAGTGCTGCAAACTGCTGGGAGACGATCAGATCACAAATTGTTACTGAACCATGGAAAGCTGAACAGTATAAATTTCTGTATGAAGGAAAAAGCAACCAACCAAAAAAACCCCAAAACTCCTCCCTGAAGCATCTCAAATCACAAACTAACATGGCAATGGAGTCAGCAGACTGCATGCTCATCTTGGACAGGACAACCATAAGGTCTGAAACACAAGCAGTTGACGGTTCAGCAGAGAATGGTATTTTCTGCTTTGCTGCTCCTCACCTGGCCAATGCGATGCTCCCAGCCCATCCTCTTCAGTCCAGCAGCAGCCAAGATGATGGCACTGAAGTCTTCCTTCTCATCTAGCTTTTTTAGGCGGGTATTTAAGTTCCCTCTCTGTAGAAGTGGTTAAGCAAGCATAGAAACAATCAGGCAAGCAGTCCTACAGCCACTTGAGCATTTACAGACTGCACAGAATCCAATAGCCTTCAAATGAGAACATCAGTACCATCCTGAAAGAAGTGTTAAATATGGACAATTTTTTCTTTAAATAGAGTTTTGCCAAGCATTATGGAATATTAATTCAAGTGCTGACTCTGCACGTCATTTCAGTATTAATACCCAGCTCCTTCTGCACTCCAAAAAACTTGGCTCATAGGACCGAAGTAACAATGCCTTCTCTCAGTAGTTCAGCCACCCACATTGGCACTAGTGGTCCAAATTACATCCAGGGTTACTGGGAACCCACTGGCATTTGGTCACACACCTTCAAAAAACACAGGGGAGGCACCATTCCTCAAACACTGCATAGCACACAATCCAATGCATCCTGAACCCCAGCAAGGTCACAGCTAGCCCCCTGGTTCACAGCCTCCTGAGAAAGCAGAGGACAGAATGGCTACAGTGCTACCCCTACCCTCTGAACAGGGTAGCAGGGGGCAGGCAGCCTTTGAGGAAATAGTTTGTGCTAGGTCAGCTGGTGCAAATCAGCCTTGAATGTAGACTTTGCATCAAGTTATATTTTCCCCTCTGCAGCTTCACCCAGCTCCCACGTTTTGCCAGGAAAGGATACAATATCCCTGAACTGCAACTGAGGGAACTTCTTTTTGAGCTGAGCTGCTCTCCGAAGTGAACTGGTTCCAATCACACTGTAGGGAAAAGTAGAATCAGTGAAATCAAGCATACTCATAACACCTCCAGACAGAAGTATGACAGAACTTTCAAGGAAACAAATGGTAACTTTTTTTTTACATATATGTCAAAGTGAAGATCTAAGAACCAGATTTATATCTCCTTAGAAAAAAGAAAACCACTCTGTGAAATTTAGCATAAAGCCTGGCTGAAGCCACTCTCAAGGAGATGATATACAGGATATGCTTCTGGAGAGCAGTCCCAGCCACTGTCAAGGACTGATAAACCTCATTTAAAGGCCACAATATTTATAACAGAAAAAAAGACTTGGCTGTCCCAAAATGAAGC